TACGTCCCACTGTCCAAATTTAGTAAAATCTGTCGTGTTTCATGTTTCTGAAGCTGAAACTAAATACAAAAATACATATTTTCAGCTATAAAATCGTTTTATTTAATTCTTTTTTTATTTTACTGAGATTGTCCGTCCCTTTCATAGCGCCCCCCCCCCCCAGTGGCACATTGGTATGTCTGCGGACTTACAACGCTAGAAATCGGGTTTCGATACCCGTGGTGGGCAGAGCACAAATAGCCCATTGTGTAGCTTTGTGCTTAATTCCAAACAAACAAACAAACCTTCTCATGGCATAGTTCTTAGCCGTGCAAAACAGTTGAACAAAGATGTTTTACTTTTTAGTCAATATGAACTTTGAGAGAAATAAAGAAACACTGTCCCCCCCTACTGGCACAGTGGTATATCTGCGGACCTCTACTACTAGAAACAGTTTTTTGATACCCGTGGTGGGCAGAGCACAGATAGCCCATTATGTAGCTTTGTGTTGAATTACAAACAAACGAAGAAACGCTCTACTCAAAATGCTACTTTTAATATTAAGCCTAAAGATGCGAGTATAATCTAAAAAAAAAGATGTTATTATTGATATATAACATTAATTCATTAATGGCTAGGTCCACTAAAACTTTAATCATCTTAAATCGGAGAATCAGCACGGGTTTTATGCTCATATTTGTTTGTTGTCAAGCATAAAACTATAGAAAGCGCTATCTGTGCTCCGCCCACCGTCAGTATCGAAACCAGATTTTTAGCGTTATAAGCCCTCGGACTTACAGCTGAACCATCGGGGATCGTTTGTTGTAGATTTCGCGCAAAGCTACACGAGGGTTATCTGCGCTAGCCGTCTCTAATTTAGTAGTGTAAGACTAGAGGGAAGGCAGCTAGTCATCGCCACCCACCGCCAACTCATGGGCTACTCTTTTACCAATGAATAGTGGAATTGACCGTCACATTATAACGCCCTCACGGCCGAAAGGGGCTGGCATGTTTGGTGGGACGGGGATTCGAATCCGCGACCCACACATTGCGAGTCCAGCGCCCTAACCACCTGGCCATGCCGGGCGGGATCATTTGAAAGGAAAGGAATGAATAAATACAATAATAATCAAAAGAGGCTTCTCTCTCTCTTGAAACAACATTGTTGTTTCGAAAAACAAATAATTGAATAATATTTTAGGGAAATAACATCTTTACATTAAACACACAGAAAAGAGAAAAGTTTTATTCTGTATGGACAAAGAATTAATTACTAGAGCTAGCCGTCCCTAATTATGCAGTGATAGAATAAAAGGAAGGGAGGTAATCAACACCACCCACCGCCAACTCTTGGGCTACACTTTTACCAACTTTAACAGGGATTGGAACCCGCGACTCGCACATCGCGAGTCGAGTACGTTAACCGTCATGGCCATGACAATACGAAAGGAATAACTAATTTTCATGTATCTTGCTACTTGTTTTATTCTATTGTTATTGTATAGTTAGTTTCATTACCGTATTGGATAAAACAAGCAGATCTACGTGAAATTCAAAACAAACCAAAGCGATATATATTATTTATTTTTAATTATTTAATTAATTTTATTTTTATAAATTAATCTTGCACACGTAAGGGCATTAGTTTGCATTGTTAACTTGGTATACAGATCTAGGACTAACCTAAATGTTTCAAGCTGATCGAACCTCGTGAGAAATTATTGTTGTAACTATAGGTAACTGCGAGGGCACCTAACGGATGAATTATAAACATTATAAGTTTTTATTTTATAGTCCTAGTTAAATGGCATATTAAATTAACTACATCACATACTAAGTTAATCTTTAGCCTCGATCTATGTATTTAATTTGCTTTGATCAGAAGTTATTGATAATAAACTTACTTCCTACCTTTCAATCGCGTTAATTTGAAATTATTCGATTCGCCAACGAAATTAAACTTTGGAGCTGTTTTTAATTTGTTTAAAGAGTAATGTACCTTATGAAAACAATAATACAAATATTTCATAAAGCGAATGCTTAATAATGGCAACCAGATTATGACTTCTTAAGGAACGTTGTTCTTGTTTTTACGAGATTGCACAATATTTTTGATACATTACAAAAGCATTCTGAATACTTATTGTATCATGACTTTACTGGCATATGTTTTTTTCTTATTTAGGACTATTTTATTTTTCTCCAATTTTTTTGACTATAAAAGGACAATTATAAAAACTGTTAAAACGTTTTTAGTCAATGCTTTTTTTTTAATAGAAAATTCACGGAGGTGCACAAGAGAGGTAATAATTAAATATTCATAAACTCTAATTAGAAAGTTAGTAGAAGTAATTTGATGCTCGAAAATACAACCCGACACTACAGTATATCGAATATCGAACAAACAATTTCATGAAGCCTACTGCAAATATAAAAATAAAATACATATTTTTCAAACGCAGGAGAGTGTGAGAGAGAGAGATGACCCGTTTGTTGTCCTTCCTTTATACATATAAGGAGATTAAGATATAATTTTATACTGTAAACGAGTTAACTCCTGAAGATTAAAAATTATAAACAGGTATATAGTCTGGGCTCTTCAGTTTGTTTACACTGGAACAATAGTTGAATGTACTTAGAGGGCACTACTTATACATGGTGCTTCCAGATCACATTCCAAACAAAGTTAGTTTAGCTGGTACATGTTAAAATGATGTTTGAATTAAGAATTATAACAGGTCACAAGTACTATAACAGTTCGTAATAATTACTGCCTTTAGTCTTAACGGCATTAATAAAATGTCGAATCAGACTTTACATTTACATTTTAATAAATAAGATGAAGGGATTTAGCGAGAATTTAATTTTACTAAGTAAAGCACTTGGAAAAAGCCAGTGTATTTATAATAATGCACTAATAAGTATTTTTCATTGTGTCTTAGCTATAGATATTTCAAGGTTTGTGCACCCTCATTCAAAGTTATAATTTTTATTCTTTAGCACAATTATAATTTCCCATTGTACTTGATCTTTAACAAGGCTTAGAACTTCAACCAATATCGAGTTCATACATTTGATTCAGGCTAAATTCTATATTTGTATCAAATTAAACCAAAATTCTTCATTTACTTTTCACTATGAATATATATATATATATATATATAACTCTGATGTTGCTGTTTGTTTGTTTTTAAGCACAAAGCTATAGTGGGCTACT